AAATCTTGAATCCTTTTTTTCAATTGAAACCATATTTTATTTTTATTTATCTTAAAACCAATGTTATTATTAAGGAAAGTGATTCTGTTAACAAAAATCTTAATATTTTGTTTGTTATCCACAATGATTTCTAATGTAAGAACTGCTGTATCATTTTGAAGTGGTATGAAATGCGAGAATGTGGTAAGAGGCCTGGTTTTATAAGGGATAATTATTAGTAGACCCCACCTCCCCTTTACCTGGAGAAGATTAAATTATGTTTTGTTGCTAGTTAAAAGGAACAATGGTAGAGTAAATTACTTTAAAAATGTATAAACTTATGACTGAGAAATAATTATGAGTGTGTACCTTGAATGAGATAATTTTGGACTGAATTTTTGGCATTTTAATAAGTCACAATTGTAATTTTATGCTAATAGATATCACCTGATTATAGAACTTATAAAAAATCTTATGTAACCTGTGGCATTGACGTGTATATAAAGCGGGGCTTATAAAAAACTGCCAGAAGAAATTTCCTTGGGAAATGTATGCAGGGGAATTTAAAATATTGATTTTCTGTGGCCATAGACAGTGATTAACATTCGTTTTACCCGACAACACTAAGATCTATGGACGCAGCTAGAAAAGAAGAGCATGACATAATGCCAAGTATTCAATGTCTAAGTAGAGAGCCAATTTGGTGTATTCTAGTCAAACCTTTTGTTTTTCAATTTCCTTTCAATTGTTCCCAATAATTATTTCAATTCACTTTGTGGTTTACCTGCATAGGCACAGATATATACCGGTAATTTTAGAGACAGATACATTGGAAATGCTGTATGGGCATTTTATGCCTTAAGAAAATACCACCACACTACAGAGGATTTTGAGACACACATATCAATGTTATCAAACATTAAAAATTGCTGAATGAACATGATATTCTGTCTGAAACAGTTTCTTCTTTAGCAAGCATATTATATTAATGTATATACAATTTAATATTTTATATCTCAGTTCATCTCTATCCTCACAGAAATGAAATGATGGTGATGTAAATTCAAGCAATATATACTTTGAACATTCAAGGCCAAGTTTAATCCAAAATAAGAAAAATAAATTTAAATTATATGACTCCAAGTCACTGAAAAAATACCAATTTATTAGAACTTGGCATAAATATACCTTAAAGGAAACTAATACTCAGAAGCAAAGATAGCCTATGAAAAACAAATCTATTCACAGATACATCTGGCTAATATTCTTTTTTACCTTGAATAGTCCTTCAGCATTTACTTATATCACTGCTGGAAATCATTGATCATATTTAAATTTCAGTGTTAGAATGAAAAATAAAAGAAAGCAAAGTCAGCAGAAATGAGGAGCCTCTGGAACCACTGATTTCCTAAAAAAATTGAAGATCCTTTGTCTCAAGGAAAGAAGGATATGTTTTATAAGTTCATCAGCACTGACTTGAAATATGTTCAGGACTTTCCAGGTGACATAATGCATTTTTAAGGAAGCTCATTCTTTTTCTCTGATTAGAGATTCACAAATTTCTAAACATGCTCCCGCTGTGTAGGACCAGCTAGAATGACGCCAGTACTTACCCTGTGAAGAAATGGCTTTCAGTGTCGACATCATTTTTAAGCCCCATATTCTTGCCTAACCAACCTTGTCACAAAGCAGGTCTGAACTGAACTAACTTATACACAAATGGTTCATTTGCAATTTCCAACCTTATGAACTTCACACTGGCTCCCCATACTAATGAGATTTCTCAATCATATTCACTTCTGGCTACGTTGTATATTAAGTCTTCAGTGGCTGACTCATTCCATACTCTACTCATGTAGCTTATCATTATCTTGTCCACAGACAAAATACACATTGAATTCAAATGAGAATGCCCACTGACTTGAGAATCTTGAGAAAGATATCAGCACTGTGGTCCAAATAGCATGACCACTAAGGAAAATATTAGAGCTAGTAGAGATTATTTTCCCCTCTGGAAGTACAAAGTGTGAAGCACAAACAATAACAACAGCAAGTTACAGTAACTCCTTGCAATGTATTTCCCTTAGTCATTTCGTTTTATTATTTTTCATAAAAATTGGTAAAATCCAGAACAACTTTGTACATCGCTCTCATAGCTTTATTTAATAAAAATTATGTGGCTCACCGTACCACTTAATACAACATCACTTTCTCTTATGTTTATTAATTTTAAAACCACGGTGGCATTTGTCTAATCAGTGTCACTCTGAACAAAGACATAACCTGATTATAGCATACTGTTAATATGAAAATGAACAACAGAGACCTTTCGGAGTGAACATTCTCACATTCTATCTGAAGACAAGTGTTCTGCATATATGCAAACATTGCAGACAGATGACTTCTTAAGTTTTACGCACTATAATATTAAGATACTCCCCCCTCATTATTACATTCCAAAAATTGTAAGTGCTGTCTCTGCGATCTACATTTTAGAGCATTTAACCTCCAGTAAGATAATCTACTGTGCTTATTTCAAAGTAAGGAGAGAAAACAACTCACATATTCTATCAGCTTCAATCAATCAAAACTTCCTACTTCACTGAGTTGCCAACAATTCTGGATCTAGCCCTCAAGTTTACAAAAAAAAATTCACAAGGCAGAACTTCAAGTTATCACAATACCTTAGAAGGATGTTAGTTATAGTTTACAAGCTCCAAATCCTTCACTAGAGCAATATCATAGGAACCTGAAATTATTTCTGCACTTCTCACCACCCAAGAACCTGACAGCTTGTATAAAAAATAGGTATGTATGCAGAAACTCCCTGGTTAGTATCTCATTTAAGTTTTAAGGCACTCCAACAATTGAGTCTTCTTTCTAAGGATCACTGAAGAGGTTTATGAAGACATATCACACTATTCACGTGTAAACTGCTCACAAAAATCAATTGACCTCCATCAGTGTCATGTATTAGGACTAATTAAAATTACCATATCCAGCAGCCAGTCTGTACCTTCCCAAATATCCTTCTCCAGTATCCATAACCACGCACTGCTCGGTCTTCCATCATGCTGCCTTTATTGCTGAGTGAGGCGCTTGCTCCTTCATTAAATAGCATTAAAAATAGACTGCACAGAACTCCCCACTGGAGCATGCTCTAACAGGGCTAATGCCACAGTTCTCAAGGTAACTCCACTCAGCTGGGATCTGGGAGGGAAAGGCACCGGGAGATCAGCAATGTGCAAATCTAACAGCACACATAAACCTGTCTCGGTCTGAGCTGAACACTGCAAAGTGCATCAGCTTGTAGTGGAATTAAGTCACTGGGAAACTGCAAGTCAGTTTCTGGAGCTGTGTAAGTTTCTTTAAAGATGACTCACCTAAACAAAGTATTCTGTTAAATAGTCATTTATCTACAGCAACTTTATATTGTTTATGAAATAACATAAATCACATTTAGGCAAGGTAAATTAAGACATGCATGCACAGGAGTCTAAATGACTTGGAAATTGCACTTAACCCAAGTTATTTTAAAACTATTCATTGCATTGATAAGCCAGGATAGTCATAGGTTAGCCTTTTGTATCTTCTGTGATGAGGAAGTATACTCCGTAGAGAATATACTAAACTCTCCAGAAAATTTAAAAATATTCTGGTAGTTGAAGTGATAAAAAGAAGTTTAAAAATGTGATATGAAAGGAAATATAGGTTCAAACACAAATACATACCTTAAAAATCCACATAAACCTGAAAAGACTGCATGCATCATTTCTCACATGCGATCCACATTAGGAATGCAGCAGAAGAAATTATTGTCAAGATAGTAGATTACTCGGCTATTTGGACAAAACATAGCCAGAGCTCTCAGTTTCCAAATGACTGCCTTTTGCGAAAATGACATTAACTACAATCATATTAAGACATGCAAGCCCTGTGGTGACACAAATACAGAGGATCAAAGGAGCAGGTGCATTTATTTTAAACTGTGTGTCAAAGATTTTCTAACTTTTACCATATGAAAGATGATTCCCTGTCATCTCCATTTCTCTGTTTTCTTAAAAACAATCATAACAATTTTGATAATCTCCAAAGTGGATGAGGAGGAGGTAGGAATCTTTTGAATTTAGTCAGCATTTAAGCGAAATCTTGCACAGTTTCAACTTTGGAGAACGCCATGCTTGTTTAGAGAGGCTGAAATGTCATACCAACAGACTTAAAAATCATAAATCCAGCAGGTATCTGGTATCTGCATCCTAAACACATTCTCATGAAAGTGACTATCTTCCAGCTTTGCATTGCGCTTACCAGTTCCCCATCCCTGTAACTTGCAATTCCCTCTTTGTTTTGCCTTTTAGCCCTGGACTCTGTCCCTATCCTGTATCTTCAGGAGGTGACCAAGTACTGGACCTCAGTAGCTGACAGTAACCACATCCTCTCCAGCTCTATTTCTGTGCACATAGACTGAGTCAGTTTGTCTTCCTAACAAACTTTCTAAACACCTGTCTAATTCAACTCAATTCTACCGCTGAACTCACAATCTGCCACAGAAGACATCAAATTAGGGGTTTGCCATAAAACACAGATTTCGAACATGTAAAAATAAAACTGAACATCTATTTTTCCCCCAGCCCCCTTGGGAGCCAGGATCCGAAGTCCTGCCAGTACAACAAACAGATTACAACTTTTTGCCCCTTGTATGGCTCTCTTTCAAATGAAATCAGAGCCTTACAAACTTTCTACCTTGATACCTGCATAAATCACTGTAGAGTTCTCTGGTGAAAATTGCCCTTTTCAGTTCTCTTCCAGCTTTCCCTTCTGCTTCATTTGGGGGAGGGGTTGTTTACCCTGCCTTTGACACACATAACACAATACATATATAACAACAGCTTTCTACACACGCGGAGGAGAAATACAGACTAGAAACAATTAGAAAGAAAGACACAGATACATGGCAGAAAGGAGAAGAAAACAATTAACAAAAGGCGTGCAATGTTCACGTCGAAGACCTTGAATATTACCTTGACCGCACAGTGGATATCCCCCCAGCGTCTTGGTGCCTTGACTGATTGTATTAAGTTTTTGGCTTTTATTAATATTATTGTTTCTCAATGATTGATTTGGCTTGATTTGTTTGATTTGGCTTGGCTTTTTTTTTTTTTTTTTTTGGTCGATTTATTTAACTGCTAGTAAAACGAGGTTTTTACAGCGGAGGTTGGGATCCTTGCAAGGCCGTGGTGGCCACTGCTCCTGCAACGCTGGTGGCTTCAGCGGGCGACCCCGCCGCCCCTGCTGCCTGTCGCTGCTGCAGACACACTCAGGGGGCACGCCGCTGCCTTCTCCGCCCGGGTGGCTGCTGGGAATGAGCGTGCCCCCACCTCCTGTCTGCCAGTCTGTCTCTCTGCACGTTGTCTGTCTGTCTCTTGCTCAGCCTGACAGCACCGCGCGCGATTCTGGCTTTCCTGCGCTCAGTTCTCAAGCGGCCACTCTCGCTGTCAGTCCGTGAGTGGGTCTGGCGGTTCCTCCTCGTCGCTCGGTCCCACTAGCAATGCAGGGTCCCTCTTGGCTGCTTCTGAGCCCGCATCTCTCTCTCCCTCTCCCACTCAGTGCCCCAGCCTCTTCCCTCGGACAGAGGAGGGCGTCTGCAGGGGAGGGAGCACGCGGATTCTCTCTCTTTCTCTCTCTCTCTTTCTCTCTCTCTCGCCTCTCCCTGTGTCTCAAGCTAACTGCTCGCACCTGTCCTTAGCGCTGTCACTGTCAGTCCCACTCTGAGCCATCCAGCCAGCCTCAGTCCGTCCCTCGGTTCCGCGTCCCCTACCTCCCCGCCTCCGTCGTCTGCCCCTCCGCCCCACTCTGCCCTCCCACGCGGCTGGCACTGCCATGGGGGGCGGCGCCGCGCTCCTCTCTGCAGCCCCTGCCGTGGCCGGTCCCGCCCCGGCTGGAGGCAACGCGCGTGGGCCATGTGGTCCCGCAGCCGCTTGGGCTGCAGACTCTAGTCGCCCTGACCCGCCACACCCCGGAGATGGCCGCGGCTGGGTGCTTGCGGATGCCCGAGCCTCTCTGCCTCAGGGCGCGGCCAGAGTTGGCCGAGTCGGAGCACGGGCACCTGCCAGGTGCGCCTGGCGCGCGAGCGATTCCATCCATTCCCCTGGCCGTTCTCCACCAGCCCCAAGGCTAGAGACAAAGCGCATGAGCCACGCGCAGCGGCGTGAGCATCATTAATCAGAGAGAAAACTGGCACGTTGCCCCCTGCCCCTCCACACAGCCTCCTGTTCCGGGCCAGCAAGCGCGCACCGCCCCCGTTGCCCGAGCCCAAATGCATACCGCTCCCCGGTGCCTCGCGACTCCTTGGACACTTGGCAAATCCTTGCTCAGCTCCCTTGCTCCGGTGCTCACTTTCCAGGCCAACTCTGCAGAGAATATCCCACAATAACACCTCACTCCACCCAAGGAATCCTTAGCCTCAGAGCTCTCAGAGATTCGCGGCTTTGAGCAAGACCAAAAGTCCGGTGCACAGCGCCAGCTGCACGCCCTGTGGGCGACTGCCTTGACGGCGGCCCACCGGAGCGCTGGCTCAGAATCACAAAGGTGCTGCAGGAACGCGGGCAGCGCAGGGTGTGGGGCAGGCGGCGGAGTTGGCATCCAAAGAAACAAAAGAGCTGCATTTTCCGTTTGTTTTGGAGATGTGCTATTTTTATTATCTGTAATTCTCCCCCCCCCCCCATTGTCTCAGGGCACACACTACAAAAAAAAAAAAAAAAAAAAAAAAAAAAAGGAATTGTGGAGGAATGGGAATACATTTCCGGAATACCACCCACCCATCCTGAGTGCTTGTAGCGCCTACTTTTCCAACATTATAAGTCACCAGTCTAGATATATCACTCTGGCTTTCTGCCCCCCAGCTGAGAGCAAGGCATTTGATTCTGGGTTTCTTTGCTAGGTTGTTATTAATGTGAAGCGAAATTATAGTTGTGTGCGCCTGCATGGAATTGCCAAAGCTCATTTTGACAGTATCCAGCAATTCAGCTTCTGAAATGCAGAGGCTGAATAACTATGGATCTGGTACAATGAATGCCCCATCCCACAATAATTTGAAGAGGAGAAAATAAACTTTTACCAGCTGCAATTAGTAACCCCATGAATAGACAACAAATAAATAACTAGCATAAACCGTATCATAAAAAAACTCCACCTCTTTTTAGTTTCATTTATTGGCATACGTTTCTGATGACAGACATTATAAACGGATTTATTAAGGGATGCACCATCCCCTTTTTATAGAAATGTAATTTCAACAGCTGTAGCTATGCTCATACATGCTAAGGTATTGACTGTACATACCAAAGTGATAATATGAGTATTTCTACCAAACACTGTGAAAAAACTAGGAGAAGGGTGTACTGGTCCTTGATGAACAGATCATGACTGTATTTTCCAAATATTAGAAATTGTCTGCTTTGGGGATCAGCTATTGCTGGAATAAGAATGAATCTGCTGTATGAGGTTTTCAGCAAATGAAGCCTAAGGAATTCAAGACCCTTATGCCAATCTATTTCTGCTCAGTCCTCTACAAAAGCATTGTAACAGAAATTTTCCCCCTCCTTCCAGCCATATGGAATTCAAGGGAAAATTAGTAAAAAGTGGTTCCAACTCTCTTTCCTTTCCTTTATCTCAAAACATGAAAAGATATACTTTCGGGTGGGGGCTTGTCGTGCCAAGTTGTGCCATGTCATAAATTCACACAATTGGGACCACATGGGAAGAGGGTCAGTGTATTCAGTTTACCTCCTGGATGGGACTAGACATCACCGTCTCTTGAATGGATGGATGGGTAATTTACTAACAGGACAACTTAGCAGCTTGCTCTTAATGCAAATTCTTCCTCAAACAAATCAGATTTTACTCTGAGGCTTCACTAAGAAAATGGAACCCGATGCTACAAATTGAATTAGAAATTACAGCCATTGGGTGGGGTTGGGGAGGGGGACTCCATCAGCACTCTTAGTACAAACTCCAGAGGTTGTATAAAAGAGCCAGACAAAATGTTTCAGTATCTTAAAAGGATATGGAGAGACAGACTGGGTGACAAAATTTAACACAAAAAGGAAAGCCTCCCAAAGAAGAGTAAGACTAATTGGCTTCACCTACATTTTCTACCTCTTCTCATAACATTTTGTCAACAAATTAGGAACTCAAGAAGGCTCAAGTTTATTTGAGGCCATGTAGACAATTAACTTTCAGCTATCCAATTTTAAGTTTTGTGTCCCAATGTGGGACTGAAATATATACTTCTGGGAACGTTAGGCAGGCAGTGAGCAATAAGTGATTCTTCCAGGCATTCAGAAAGTGTTTGTATTTTTAAAAGCAATTTGAAACAGTTACCATTCCTAAAGGTCCTTTACCTGTCCTGTATTAACCACCACTAACCTCACGAACACTGATGTCTGCCTTACTGGACCTCTGGTGAAAGACCCACAGCACCAGTCACAGAACTGTTGATGCACTGAAAGCATCTTAACTTTAGGGACCGGAGACAGTGGCAGCATGAGGAGAGAAAGTGGTGCCATTATTTCTTTTGATCTGGGTGCTTGTGAATTTATTTGGTATCATGTTCGAAATGAAAGAGCCTGCATGTAACCAGGTAACCCCAGCTTGGGGAGTTGAGCTCACCTACACACTGGCAAACATCTAAGATTGTCTCGACAAGCTCCTTTAAACACATATTCCCCTAAGACACTAAATTAGTGGCCTTTAATGAAGCTTCCAAATTGGATTTTCAAAATAAGGCAAATTGCTAACATCACCCAGCTACCTTTGTAAGCACCTTCTCAGCTGAAGCGAGAAGTAGGATTTCCATGCTGTTGAGCTTCCATCATTCCTCAACAATCAGGCTGCGGGGAACTCCCCTTCAGGGCTTTCTCTCCCACCACCGTAAAGGTCCCCAGATCCCCTGGAGAGACTTCTCATTTACCCTGTTTCCAACAAAACAGTCTAGGGCTTATTACATACCAGTCTTGGTTTTAAAGGCATACAAATATGCGTGGTACAGAAAGACAGGGGAATAAGAAGGGGAAGGAAAAGATTAGTGTTTCAACCAGAAAAGTTTAGTTCCCCATTCTTATTTTATGCTAAGCCAAAATAACTCTAAAGCACATTTCAGAACATCAACAAAGAATGTTACATCACGTATGCATCTGAGCATGAAGAAATGTCACGATCAAAAACAAAGAGGACTTGGGAGACTAGAAACCAAATGTTCTGATGGCACAGATCCCTTGACGGCAGCCATGTTTCCTCTGTAGTCTGCTAGGCGCACTGGAAGGAAATTACCTCCGTGAACCCTCAGTGTTCACATGGGCAGGCTGTAAATGAACACTGGCCTTCATACGCAAATAGTGATACTTTGCTGAGGATACGAACCAAGAAATGCCCTCAAAAATGAATGTGTGTAGTATTTTTCGTAAAGATGCATCTCATTCAAAGGAGGGACAATAAGAAGAAACAGGAGGAAACAACTCAAGAGAGGAAACCTGCCACTAAATGATCTCAGCATGAAAACACACAAAAAAAGGCTGTTGACTAAATTGCATATTTCTTTTCAGTATCTCTTTGGGTAGAAATGCCAGCATTCAGACACACCTTTAGTATTCGGGAGGGGGTTGTGTTCCTCTGGACCCCAGAGCACGGTGTTTCTTTCTTTTCTGCAGTCGTAGCCCCGAGGGACCCAAGGCTTTGGCACCGCCGAGGCAGGTGCAGCTGGCAGCGGAGCACGCAGGTGCAGGAACTCTGAGTGCAGAGCAGGTGTGTGCAGGCAGGATGTCCTGCAGGCCCTCTCTACCTGGCCTGTGTTAGCACCCCCTCCAGGAACTGCTGCAGCACGAAGTGTTCTCAGCTTCCTGTGGGACCCATAAAAGATGGCTTTCATTAAAAAAAGAAAAAACTGGGCTCAGAATGGAAAGTAGAAATGAAGAAGCATCAGGAGCATATATGGGGAGAATAGAGGTAAATGTTCTCCCCCTGAAGTGCAAGGGATGAATCAGAGCGTAGCCCAACATTTGCCAAAGCACTGTGTGCGATCCTGCCTCCACTTTTATGTTCCTGTTCCGGAGATAAAGCATTTTCACACAAAAGAAGACAAAGGTTACCAAGTTATCCTGAACTTGGAATAATATATTAGGCTTCTCGACAATGAGATGGTATTAAAAGGTCTCTGGATTAGGCACTAGAATGAAACAGCTACAATCCATCTCTAATGAAATATAGGTCATTTACATTTTAAACTGTTCTTCGTAATGCTTAAAAGGTAAGGCATATCCACAGTGTTAATATTTCAAAAGAGTACTAAGATCTTACTGGGAACCCAGTTGTAAGCCAATATTCAGAGTCTGAAAAAGAATATACAGATTTGTAATTATGCATAAATGTATGTACAATTTGTTCTCCAGAGCTACTCTTTAAAATTTTTTCTTCGGAAAACAAATGCACATTTGCAAAACCTATAGAGACACAGTGTTGAAAAAAAAAGATGGGGGGGGCATCACGATTAAAAAAAATAAAAATCTCTCAAAATATCACCACCCAAACAGCTTAGCCAATCTCTGTGCATATATATCCATAAATATATAGCTTTATTTTGCATAAGTGGATTGCAAAATACATGCTACTTTATAATCTGCTCCCTGCTCTCTACTTTAGAATAAGTCAAGGGGTTCTTTTCATGACAGTGACTATATCACTATATTAATGACAACATAGTAGCCCGCCGTACGTCAGTGAAAGCTATTGATGGGCATGGCTTCCAAATTGGAGGGTTATCCCCTTAGGGCAAATTCTT